AAGGACTTCCTCGAGGACCTTTAGTATAAGCAGAAGAGCGAGTGGGAGGGGTCGGTATTAAGGAGAAAGCAGTCAAGCAGCGAGGTGCCGCTCTGCCTTAGTGACGAGAACAAACTCAAGGAGAAGGACTGGGCTATTATTTCCTTATTTAACAAGGTCCTTTAACACTTCGAGCACGTCTTGATTACTCTCGCAGCAGCGCAAGCGGAAGGAAGAATACATTAAGGCATATAGGTGCCCGTAGAACACTTTACTTGGCTATGAATACCCCCATAGCAAAATAGAGGTACATAAGGCTGCTGCCCATCGATATCCCGATCCCGAGCACTTTAAGGTTAATATTAACCTCTATTTGAAAAAGCTTAACAAGTATTACTCGCGGCTTAACGCGACGCCGGTTTATTATGCCGCCATTGCATCTCACCTAGCGTATCGTTAGGGATATTTCAAGGATGTGTGAGCGGACCGCCGAGACTGGATCTAAACTACAAAGTCCCTTGTAAAAGACCTATACCGGTCTCACTACGAGCCGCAAATTATCTCTCGAGGTCAAGAACGCGGCGAGCCGGTCACGAAACGGCGTATATATCGGAATCCCTTTGACAGGTATCGTAAAGAATCTCGTCAGGCTCCGACTCTATTATAACCACCTTTATCGATGACTACCATGTTGCAAGCTGAGGACGCAGCTAGCAGTTCCACATATGCTGTAGGCGACAAATACAGCGATTGGTCTGTGATGTCTACAAGTCCGACCAGAATATCCTAGGTCCTATTAGTTATTAGTATAAGAGAGAGGAAGAGTATCTATATCTATTATGAATAGCTCTTAACATACTCTCTATCCTTCCTATATCTGCTAATATTAAGAGGCTATTCTTAACATGCAGTCAAGTGGTTCGAGACCATCATGCCAGGCTGGACGCTAGTACGATCAGGATAACACAGGGGGTTAAATCATGGCATTGTAGAGGCTATATTATGAGCACAGAGAAGCTCCTTGAAGATGTCAAAGTGCCAGGGACTGATCTGTTCGCTGAAATGAGCTTTGCGGAGGCCCGGGAGGCAACGGATGGGAGGATCACGTGTACTGTCCCTGTATAGCGTCCACGCATTTCCATTTCCACGGGCCTACTCTCAGCGTCAGCGTTCATTTCCATCCATTCCATTCAAGAGGGGCCTAAATAGACATCCATCCATTCTACAAGAGGTTGCGTGGATGGAAATGGAATGGACCGCCGCAGCCACGTCCATCGCGGCGTTTTGCGTCGCGTTGCGCCCCACTTGACTTTCCAAACGCTACCTCCACAATGTTAACAAAGATTGTAAAGATTGTCGGTGTCTGGGTATGTCTCTGAGCTCCCATGAGTAGATGCTGCTGTAGAAGCTTGCGCTCGACAGCGACAGGCTAGGGTATCGTCTCGGGATATACGCGTATTCTCGTTTCCCCTGTCAAGGGAACTGCCTATACGAGTTTTTTTTTAGTTTTTTTTTTCTTCCGGAAAGCTCAGACCGCGAATTAGCATTTCGAACTTGGACCTTAATCTGCTCATAGCAGAGACCACGGCTTCACATCTCGCTAATGCCTGCACGGCCACAAGATTCTGCAATTGAAGTATGTCAAAGCTCGCCTCCTTAGGTAGAGCATGTACAACGTGGTTTGACTACTTGAAGAGTAGCACATGGTAAGATCGTTTTTCGACGTAAACTGCAATACTATCTCAGCTACCCTAACACCTAAACCAAAATACCTAACAAGTCTCATCAGTAATGAAGGTAAGAATCTTAATTGTTATGTACTCCCTGGGTTCACATACGTTAGGCAAAACGAAAGTTTTCAAAGCCACCGAGCCCAGTCTTGACCAGAGAGGTCCAAGATAATTCCGAGTTGCACGCATGATTGCATTCGCCCGACAAATAACAAACCATTTCCGGCTGAAAACTACCTGACATTTTATTGCAGAGGCAACATAATGGGGCAAAACGCACAAAGCAACCATATGCCCCCCCAGATGGAAATCCCAGGCTATGTCCGGATCAGGTCACACAACACAAGCAACAGTCAATTCCGGAATTTGTTTCTTGCCCAGGAGCTGGTAGGTGGAAAGCAACCCGAGCCTGGATATGCTGGATCAACTCCGCAGACTGCCATCGGAAGCAAGATGTCAAACGGTGGTGACGCTACTATTTGGGCGGCTGAGTTCAGTCCGAGCGGCCGGTACCTGGCCGTCGCAGGCAAGGATCGGGCCATCAAACTGTTCAAGGTCATCTCCACAGAAGAGGAGCGTTTGGTACAGCAGAGATGTGAGAATGGGACTATACTAGGATCGAAGAGCCTTTCAGCACCAGTATTTCTATCTAGGCCTTACAGAGAGTTCAAGGGCCACTCAGCCGAGATCTTAACTTTAAGTTGGAGCAAGAATGACTTTTTACTCTCAGGCTCGACAGACAAGACTGTTCGCTTGTGGCACCCAAGTCAGCCAACATGCCTTCGCGTATTTCAGCACGACAGGACTGTGACCTCAGTTGCGTTTCATCCCACTGACGACCGCTTCTTTCTCTCTGGGTCTTTCGACGCTATACTAAGGCTTTGGGATATTACAAGAACTTCGATAATTCACTCATCACCCATGGCGGGCATCATCACCGCTGTAGCTTTTTCGCCGGATGGCAAGGTCGTAATATGTGGTAGCTTCGATGGGGTTTGCATCTTTCTCAACACCACCGGATTGACGGAAAGAAGTCGAATATGTATCCAGTCTTTTGGCTCCAACAGTAGAGTCAGCTTCAAGATCACAGGTCTACAGACGATGGTTTCCTCTGAAAGCATCGACCCGACTCGCCAAGCAAAGTTAATGATCACGACCAATGACTCACGAGTTCGCATCTACAATCTTGCCGACCATGGCTTAGAACATAAGCTCGAGGGAATAAGAAGTCAGTCGAGTCAAATCCATGCTCGTTTCAACGACAGTGGAGAATATGCCATATGCGGCAGCGAAGACGATGAGGTTCATATCTGGCACTTGAATTCTAGGGAACCGAAGGAGTCTCATGAGAAATTCCATACACACTCTGAGGCGGTCACAGCTGCCGGGATGGCTCCAATTATTACTCGAGAGATCCTAAGCCTCTCGCAGGATCCGATCTACAGTCTTTGCGATTGTGGAACTTCTGGCCGCAGCGAGTTGCACGGTCATCAGAACCATACAGCAAACACCTCGTGCATAACCGAAACGACTCTTGATTCTTCCTCAAAGGCGACAATGGTGATGAACGATGCGTCGTACAATGGCTCTAGCAGCCATTCTAGTGGTCACATCATCGTCACAACAGATACTATGGGCAAGATAAAGGTATACCGCCAGAACTGCGCCTTTGACAAGCGCTACGGCATGCCTCATAACTATCTGGTTACTTGATGGCCCAGGTGCTTTACGTTTTATATATTCGAGGGACCTTTGCGTTATAGGCGCAGTATACCTGTCTTCAACTTATAAAAGGAGACACCAACAAAACTGAGCCATTGACATCGGAGAAAGTCTGCATCTTACTACTGGCATGAGGTAGATTGTGACACATTTACAATTACTACCTTGATGCTTGTGTTTATGAAGGATCAGCTGTCGCTGGCATTAAACAGTGACTCATGGAAACGGCTCGGTTGGTAGATCGGCAGAGAATCTCGGGCAGTATTACACACGCCTTGAGAAGAAAAGAGCCTCAGACACGTCGCAATAACGCTTCATTGACATGCAAGTTGCAATGAAGTCAGCAAGTTAAGAACAAATAGAGCTTTTAGTCATTGTACTGGCATTGGGATATGATGCTCTTGATATGATGGGAAGAATCATGTCTTTTGTTGCAACTGAAGAGACCTTAAGGCCAGTTCAGATAGGTAGATATGTAGTTAGTGCATCTGGGGCCTGAACTACTAAATTTTCCATAAACGAGCGGCTTTTAAGATATGAATCTGGCATTTAGATTGATTATACTGCACTAGCTGAACTGCTATTGGTGTTGCCCCTTTTCACACTCCACTACAGCTTGGAGATCGAATCTCTAGTACTCGAGAATTTTATTTTGATTTAAAAGATGGTCTCGTACAGCTAAGTTTCAGTGCTTTATAGCATAAGTCACGCATCTATAAATAAAAAAAGTTGTTTTCGATTAATCCCCAACACAGAATACTGCAACTCACTTTAGATTTGGACGGGTACCTGAAGACGCAAGGCAAGCTGGCCTAAAATAGCAACAATCTGATGTCTCCCGCACGGCATCACATCTGATTGGGTACTAAATGAAAAGGCCTGAGCTCCGAGGCTGGACTAGCTACTGTAAGTAATTTATGGGCTCGATGGATGCAAATTACCGAGCGAACCGCAGCAGGGTAAACGAGTAAACGAGTCTCAAACTGGTTCGTTCAAGATGGCTCAAGGCTATGTCGCGTTTGGAATTCTCGTTAGACATACTGAAACAAGCGCTTGTAACACTCTACTCTCCCCTATTATAATTGTGGATATACCTTCCCCCTTATCCCATGGTAAGATGTTTTTAAACAAGCCTTCAATTCCCTTCGAGCAGCGTCACTTATTCTTAGCCATTCATTACCAAGTCTCTTCTTTCCTCATCTGTCCTACATTTGTTTTGCTTCACCAGGTCTTTTTGAGGCATTCAGTTCTTACCACAAAATTGGTCTCTTTTTTTTTCTTTTTTCTTTTTCTTTTTTTTTTGCCGCCAATCGCTCTCTTCGATCTTCTTTTGCTCTTTTTCTCGACAGCACATTGGTCTATCTCCTTTCATCCAACAGCACTCCTTGGCCAAACGGGCTCGCCACTATGTATCTTGTTCCTCGAGACACGACAGCCGCCGATAGTGCAGCTACGTTCTCCCTTTACCATTATGATCCTTCGATAGCGGCCGCAGTCAACATGGTCTTGCTTTTTCTAGGTGCCACCCTCTTTCACTTCTGGCAGCTCATTCGGGAAAGATGCTAGTTCATGATCCCGCTGGCTATTGGTGGTATTCGTAAGTAATGTGCTGCTCTGCTGGGTTGGGTTCATGTTAACTAACAAACATGTGTCTATTGCAGTCGAAGTCATCGGATACGCAGGTCGAGCCAAATCTGGAGGAGAGAGCCCTAACTGGACACTTGGCCCGTATATCATCCAAGCCATCCTTCTACTCGTTGCCCCGGCTCTCTTTGCAGCAACAATCTACATGGAGCTTGGACGGATTGTTATCATGGTGGAGGGGGAATCACGTACCATGATCCCACACAGGTGGTTGACTAAAATATTTGTTGTTGGAGATGTTCTCTCGTTTCTCTTCCAAGGAGGAGGTTAGTTCAATCCTTTCCCACAGCTTAATTCATGTTATAGGGACAAGCATTACACCAACTGACTGTTGACATCAGGCGGAGGCTGTCAATCCTCCGTTAGCTTGGAAGCGTTACATAACGGCGCCAAAGTTATCATCGTCGGCCTCTTCATCCAACTGATCTTCTTTGGCCTTTTCGTTGTTATTGCTGTGGTATTTAACCGCTCGGTTAATGTGTCTCCGACGGGGCGCTCGCATGTGGTTCCCTGGAAGAAGCATATGTATGTTCTGTATGTTGGCAGTCTGTTGATCATGATCCGATCAGTCTTCAGAGCTGTCGAATACCTTCAAGGGTTTGATGGGTACCTGCTCAAACATGAGATCTACCTATATATTTTTGACGCCGTTCTCATGCTTCTGGTCATGGTTATAGTCAGTTGGCATCATCCTGCTGAGATTTCGGCAATCATCTCGCAAAGGGGCAACGGCTACGGATTAAAAATGGGCCCAGTTTCTACTGGACACAGCCGTTTGGCGTCAGACGTATAGTACCAATGCAAAATTGGTTTACGAACAGTTTCCAATTGGCCTCACGGGATATTTTATTGTACGGTGTGGGATTTGGAAGATGGACATGACCGGATTCGTATTTTTATAGTCACACATTGGCAGTTATAGTGGGTAAAAAAGCAATTCTAAGTCCCTATATTCGCGGTTAGAAGTGGCACAGCAAAACTGCTTCTAAAACACACTCCTTGGCACAGCTACGTGCCTCAGGGCACTTGAGTGGTTCGTATCCATCGTTTGACTCTCGTTTACCGAGTTTTCTCGCTCGTTCTTCGTTCCTGAACCTTCAGCTGACCTGGACTCTCTCGTTTATGTAAATTATTTTTCTCACGACCTACCCACCCTTGGCATTGCTCTGCTGCCTCTTGAACCATCCAGATCTTCCATACGGACAATCTGAAATGGGATGAGCGGACTGACCGGCGCCGTGCCAAAACGGGTGCAGTCTTTGCCACTCTCTACACACCCGAAGGTCCTCATTCCAACATCTAGACTTTAGTGTGACGAGAAGAAATCATCGTACAGTGGGATGCAAGAATTTTGTATCCAGGCGCAAGTACCCGCCTCCTTACTAAACCGATCAGTAGCTACCTCCTTCGTTCTGTTTATGCCTAATCAAGTTAGCTAGCTGCCTACCTGGGGCTAGATATCTACTCAGTATAGCTAGCCAGGCTTGTGACAGAAGCGGAGCGACAAGGCGAATACTTCATCTCGGATTCAAACTTATTGCACCTCACTGTATACGGCTTGGCCAGCAAGAATCACAATCCACTGAGCTTACACTGAGTAGGGACTACTCTAGCTTAAAACTTGGTTTTTCTGAATGAAACTCACGGAATTGGATGCATAAATGTACACAACAGAGTCAAGCTTGGTCGAGATTAGCAAAATTCATCTCCCTTGGTAATTTTAGTCTCGGACTTGACCGGTTCGGCTTCTGGGTCTCGGAACGCCCCTATGACAGCGAAAAAAGCTGGCTTAGACAGGCTGCCGTAAGGCCTTTGTTAATACCTTGAGTGGCACCAGCGATGGGAATGACGGCATTGGCACTCTTAATCTTAAAGCTGATTCCAACAATAAGAATGGAGGTTACCAATGCTCGAAAACTTGAACCTGGACTAGAAAGATGAGGTCAATCTCTTTGATGACTGGGTCTCCTCTTCAAAGCAATATGTATCAAACCTCTCAACCATTACTGTCCCAGGTTCCCGTAGTTATTTGAAAGCTTAGGTATCACGATATAGCGGTGAGGTCCAGGTGTGTAAGCTCAAAGTCTGGGTTTTTACTAACAATTCCAGATCGTCGTGCAGAACTGAGTTCGTCAAAAGATTTACCACGATCTCGAGAGAAGCGGATGAACAAAACACTCGTAAATGGTCAGTCGCTCACCGCAATAACATCCAAGGCTCGCCAGCAGGGCAAGTACGGTCCGTGCAATTTTCAGTACGTGAACTCCCGTCGATTTTACTGGAGATAATTCATTTTGCTTGTGGCTCTCACGATCCGGAGACGCGTAATCCTCAACTGCAAGAACGGGGCTCATAATTGATTAATGGAGACACAGGGACAATTACCGACTTGAAGCTACCAGACCCGGGTACACTAACACCGGCAATTACAATGAGTGGGATAATTCAGGGTATGACGAAGCCCCGCCGGTAACCCCATGGGAGAAGGCTGGCTAATGAGTCTGGAAGAGGGTGTCATAGCCACAGCTGATGTCCCCGGATAACGACGGTAGAGGAACATCGTTAAATTGTCCGAGGACGCCAAGTGTTATTTGTCCGAGGCCGGCTAAATCCATTACAAACTACGCACTAGACTAGCCGTCGGTGACTGGGGAATTGTATTCCAAGACTGGGCTTCAACGAGACGCTACAGTACGTCGCTCGAATTCGTTCTGAGAAGAGTATATTGACGAGTATCCTCCTCGTCCTTAGTCCCCCACTCTTCATTCTCGTTCTCGTATAACGCTCTCCCCCGCAAAAACAAACGTCATATCGTAGGAAGTAAGGTTGACGTTATGACGAAGAGGCCGACACCACAACCTATAATACCTCAATGATGACCTGGCAAGAATGATTGCAACATCACAGCCAACGACACCGAGAGCAATCCTAGAAACAGAAACATGAAGGCCACTATCATCATCGGAGCGCTCGTCGCCGTTGCTCAAGCAGTCAAAATCCCCTGCACCGGAACCACCTCACTGAGAGAGGAGGCGGCCAAGAAGAACCTTCTCTTTGGGTCCGGGGCGATCAATCCGTCCTACCTCGATGATGCACAGTTCAAAGCCGTTCTTTCCGAGCAGTTCAACAGTCTCTCTCCTGAGAACGAGTTGAAGTGGAACTTCTTCCATCAATCCCCAGATCACTACGACTGGCATAAGCTCGACCGCCTCGTCAAATTCGCAGAGGCCAACAACATGGCAGTCAAGGGACATGGGCTTATCTCGGGCTGCTGTAACCCAGACTATGTGCTCAACATCACTAGCCCAGCAGCTCTTCGCGCTGCGATGACTACCCACTTCGAGGCTGTCATGCACCGGTACCGCGGCAAGATGGATCGATGGGACGTTGTCTCCGAGGCCCTCAAAGCGAATGGCAGTGGCCTGGCGTCCAACATTTTCTACGACACGCTCGGTCCCGGCTACGTTGAAGAGGCCTTTCGCATCGCCCGAGCGGCAGACCCAGATGCCAAGCTGTTCCTCAACGAGAACCTTGTCGAGGTACTGCCGAAGAAGCGCCAAGAACTCTATGAGATGGTGGCACAGCTCGTCGCGAAGGGCGTCCCCATCGACGGGATTGCCCTGCAGATGCACATCACCCTCCAGCCCCTGGTGCCTGGTGTTATTAGAGAAATGGTCAACTCTTATAAGGCGCTCGGGCTCGAGGTCACCATCGCTGAAATGGATGTCCATACGTACAACGCTACCCAACAGACCGAGATCTACGGCGATGTTATCAAGGAAGCTCTTGACTCAGGCATTGCCGATATCAGCTTCTGGGGTTTCACGGATAAACACGCCTACACCTGGCTCCCGGGAGCGAAACCCTTGATGTTCAACGAGACCTACTATCCCAAGGGCGCATTCTATGCAACTCATAGTGCCCTTGCCAACTTTGTTCGGAAGTCTTGACTCTAGTTAATCTTGTCCTTGTACTACCTAGAGATTTCGACCCTTATTGGTCGTCATATTTTCTTCCAGGAATATTGATCCTCGTTAGTTGTGGATATTATATAGCAACCAAACGTTTTTATTACTTTATCACTTGACTTTCATTCCAGTACCAAGCTTTACGTAACAATCTAGACATTACCCACACCTTCTGCAGCCTACCCCAAGTCTAGGTTGCAAAAGAATGATCATGAATTCGATAATGCTGATGTGGCTATAACAGCCACTAATGAACACATGTGATTGGATAAGGGCCCAGGGATAGAATCATCTACAGACGTCGCTTATAATTTCAGATTTGCATATTCATGTTATGTTGTGTCCAAATTCTGCACCTTGGATGCTTTACTGTTTATGTGCGCAATCTTATATGACCTCCACTCACACGGAACAAACACGTGTTCAACGAATATCAAAAGAACAAACGTACGCTGTTTGCTTTTTATTCTTATACAGTAATGAGCGTGGTTCAGCTGGGAGCCTAAAGCTGCATATGCCGCAGGTACCGTATTGACTGATGAAATTCACCACGCCCTGTGAATCCCTTTGTCCTACCAAACCACGACTTTTAGTGCAAATGTCAGATCCTTATTCCCGTCGCAATTAATTAGAAAGATAGAAGATAGAAAAGGGAGCCACGAGGCGTAGTGAATTTCATGAGTAGATACGGTAGTACATTTACAAAGCTAGCACTTGATACACTGTACACCGTAAGTAACACTAGAATAGGTTGGGTCAGGTTCTATACACGGGGTCATTGTCAATGTTCTTCTGGTGTCGTTAGTTATGTTGCTACTTTGGTCGAGTCCGGACTTTGTCTCTCAATTATTGTGGAGTTGTTATGTAATCTTTGGTGTTCCCATTTTCCATCTTGCCGTATACGGACCGAGCCGCCGGATAGAGCGAGCCCAGCGTGGCACAATTGATGCACTTCGTTTAGAATACGAAGGGAGGGGTGATTATTTCTCTTGTTTTTCTTTCGTTTGTACTTTTTCTTCTTATTCTTGAAGAACGAACTTTTACAAGTAATTGCAACCGGAATACGAGGAGTCTTAATAGCTTTCGACGCTTCTCTTGCCACTTTCATTAAGGTTTTTATTATTTATATTGCCTCCAGTCCAGCAAGCCAAGTGAGTCATTACCCATTGGTGAGAACGTAACTACATTACCCCAAAGAAATCAACAGACATCTCCCTGGATAATAATGCTTTCATCCTTTTCCTTCTCTTCCACGTCTTCATCTTGGGTAACGATACTGGGGTGGACTTTTATCCTGGTCAGTAGCGGCATACTTTAGTTGGCATTTGACTCAACTAATATATCTCGGTACAGTGCATATTCTACATCATTCTACATACCATCTACAACCTTCGACTACATCCTCTTCGGAAGTATCCGGGACCTTGGTGGCTGGCGGCGAGCCGTATACCTTATACATTCTATGTATTAAGAGGAGCTGCCGCCCGAAAGACAAAGGATCTTCACGATAGGTATGGTCATGTTGTTCGCATAAGCCCAGATACTCTCTCGTTTACTTCGAGCCGAGCTTGGCCTGGTAAGTGTTTGATATTTTTAGTTATTGCTCATGAAGCTATCAGGGGCGATACCTAGAGGGCCTCTCTGGATGCGGAGCAAAGGGGTCTTGCATCTCGGTGCTATACGCATCGTGCCACATTTTCTCTTGAAATGCAGCCTTGGCCACATACTCATCTAACGCGTATCAAGATATATACGGGCCGGGGCAACCTAGAGGGCGAGGAAATATCCCCAAAGATTCCAGATACTGCCCTGAATCTCACCTGGTATGTTAGTGCTGATCAGTAACGCCTCGACCTCGAGCTTCTGGCGGAATTTTAAGCGAGACAAGCTCACGGCTCAGTAACAATGATTTTAATACGTCTTGATTATGTCTAGAAAGTTTTCAATGCTAAAACTCACCGGCGGCTCACACAGTGCCATTTAACACCATCGCATCATGAAGCATGTCTTCGAAAACACACCAATCTCTTTATTTCTAAGCTCCAACAGTCCCAGTATCAGTCAGAGACTAAAGAGGTGGACCTGAGCCATTGGCTCCATCTTCTGACGACGGATATTGCAGGCGATGTGATTCTTGGGGAAAAGTTCGGCGGACTTGAGAACGGCCAGTGTCGGCCCATTATCGCTGACATCCCATGTTTAGCAAGAGCCTTCGCCTCGGCTGTGGAGCTGACACAGTATCCAGGTATTCGCTATATAACGAATACTTTTTGGACCTGGTTCAACAGGGCTCCAAAGTCTCCAAAGAAGCCTATGGCCGTGCCCAAGCAAACAGAGAGCCATATCAAGGAGAATAAACTTATATCACGGATACTTGACGGTCCTGAAGACCAACGGTTAGTTTTCTCTGTACCAACCTCAAACCATGTTGCTCTCCCGGCGTCGTTACTGAAAATGTCATAGGTTGTCACCTGTCGAAAATGAGGCCATAACAATGGCTCTTATCATCGCGGGAAGCGAGACCAGTAGGTTGCACTTCAATAGGGTCCAACTTTGAGATGATTTTCTGTACTACTTTGCTAACCTTTGGGTAGCGGCTACTTTGCTGGCGGGCTCGATATATCTGCTTCTAAAGCATCATGTATGCCTCAAAAAGCTAACGTCGACTCTGCGCACGCAATTTCATACCAGTTCTGACATGACACTGTCTGCCCTTAAAGAGCAGCAATACCTTAATGCTATCCTCAAAGAGAGTCTTCGCCTCTATCCTCCCGCCCCGGGGAACCTATTCCGTCGGACTGAAAAGGAAGGGCATGTCGTGATGGGGGAGGAGATTCCGTCTAATACAACTCTTACGATGAATCTATGGGCAGCCAACCGCTCTGCGCTGAACTTCCATTTGCCCGACAACATGGTTCCTGAACGATGGATCCGGCCTCGATCAGCTGAGTATCAAGACGATGACAGGTCTGCCATGAAGCCTTTTAGTATCGGGCCGCAAGACTGCCCTGGGAGAAAGTGAGTCGAGAACGCACGTCTCACATCGTGTTGCAACTCCTACCTCTTTGTTGCTTTAAAACTAACAGATATTAGTTTTGCGTGGGCCGAAGCGCGTCTGGTGCTTGCGTATACGCTGTGGAATTTGGACCTAGAGCTCGTGTCAGAGAGTCAAGACTGGATGACCTGGCAGAAGGTGTTTATGTTCTGGATGAAGCCGCCTCTGAGAGTCAGATGCACACCAGCACAGACACGGGTTGAATAAGTAGAGAGAAGGACTTCTCATCCTGAGTATTTTCATGTATCTATAAAAATAGTCTTTTGTAATGCTTTGATCATCTATTGCGTGCTGAGACTGCTCACATTTTCCCTTCCGTATCGTTGTTTCTTTCATTGGAAGCCTCTTTGGCCGTTGATGCTATTGATAGACAATAGCCCATGCAAAACGAGCAGTTCTTACGATTTATTAGTAAGTTTCGACTTCCTGGATCTGAATCCCTACCGGCTTACGTAGGCCTGATCGAAGTTGAGGCTTGGCAATATCAAAACTCATCCCCAGAGGACATATTGCCTTGTTCGGTACGGAGTGTTCCAGAGCCACCACCTTCTAAGCGACGAGCGACGCCGACATGACTATGGAAACTCTAGGCAGTCATTGGCTTGAATCTGTTGAATACGATATTCTAGGTTATTCTCTCTTTGTTTATGCGGTGCTATAACCGACATAATCGACCAGCTTGGTCTGTGGGATTGTTTCTCTGTCTAGCCTTTGTGTTATCAATAGCTGCAGGCGTATCCCAGTACCTTGAGCGGAAAAAGGTGCAGTGGGTCGAAGGAAACCCCAGTCCAAAGATATTGAGAATCGAAGATTAGGTGCTTCAGTTGATGGACCTTCAAAAGCAACTGAATAGCAATCAACTTGAAACGTCACGGTAGAAAACCGTTATATAGACCACAACGAGAGCCTATCTAGAAAGTTTATTCTGCCTTGCAAAAGGGGGCTCGTGGCATGGTCAATTAACCGAGTAGCTATGGTTCTTGAATTGGAAAGCCCACTAAATGGGCTCAGTAAAATTGAGTCGAGCAACTAACTGCTATTTGATCTGAGTCTAGCCCTGCCAAGCCAAGCCATGTAATCGGTCATCCCAGAATCACAGATGCAGATTTGTGTTCGACATTGTCAATGAGGCGTGAGCCCTTGATCTTGATTGGAGCTAGAGCTAAAGCGGCGAGCCAAGAGTTAAACGAATCTAAACGAGGCTTGCCGAAGAGCGATAGATGAAACGGATAGGATGTCATTGCATTAAAGCCCCCCCTCGTCATAGGAGTTAATTGATCATTAGGTTCCATGCAGGAAATAGTAGTCTTTTCGTTCCTCATTCCTCTCTACCTCGGTCCTTTTTTTTTTTTCTTTTTTTTTAATCTATGATGGTTGGAGGGGTCAGGACTGACCTGTGCGTTCAAACTAAGTAGATCTCGACGCGACACCTGTTAGAAAGCCGATCAAAAGGTATATATTCTCCCCTCTTTCAGAAAGAGGGGAAGTTCTGTATCTATATCCCTCAGCTTGCCGATAACTAGCCGAGGTATTGCCTAAGTACAAGCAATCATTTCATTATCCCAATCTAACACACACCTTCCAAGCATAGTGAGGCGCGGACCAAAAAATATACCACGCTGTAGCAAAAACTTCTATAAGTCGATTTAATCGAAGAAAATGCATTTTTTTCTATCTGAGGCGACCTGTAACGGCCAAAAAGTTGACTTTAAAGTGTATATAGGGTAAGCAGTGATTCAAGCGGGCTCTCTCCCCTGCTTCAAAGCAACTAATCAACAATCGTTTAAAATGCACGAAATCCCTGCTCTTTGCTCATTAACCAATGAACGCTTGTTTAAATGCGAATACCCCTGGGAGTACCCACTCGCAACGTCCTGAGCATAACAAATTTGATGATGGGCGCTGGATCGCAAGCAAAGTTAATCCGTATTTAATCTAATTAAGGCACCGATGAGAATTGCTTGTCAGATCAAGTGCCGGGGAGCCTTGGCAATGGTAGAACTTAAATCCGGTAGAAAGGCAATGTCTAATTTATATCTGTTCTCCAATTTGCGTGTGTCTAGGCCCACAGTCACCAATACACTGGGGCTGGGTAGTGGCATGCGAAATGCATAGAGTGACTCCCTCTTTTTGTCTTTCGTCAGTCAGAGTCAAGGTGCGGGTTCATCGTCAGCAGTTTACTGTAATGCTTTCATGGAAGGTGCCCCAAGTTGGACTAGCTGGCGTACGCCCTATGCACAACCCAAGCCAAATGGTATCCCGCCGTCCCCATAGCCGTAAGTGTCTCTTAAGATCGCGATATTCATACTAGCCTATGATGGCACTTACCACTTCGAAGATTTCTGACTTGGTAATTTTGACTTCATCCGACTCTTCATAACGTCCACATTCGCTTGAAATGCTTTGATACTGATCAGGTTGCTGTTAGTAAATAAGAGGACAGGGACTACACTAGCGTCACCTAGTGCAATCAGCGCCATGTCCAGTCTATTTTAGGTCATTCCGGCAAATTGCTAATGATGGGCTACTGACGGTGCACCCGCACCTGACTGTAATCTAAGTTGCCATTCTGTGACGAATAAAAAATCCCCATCGGTAAGTGGTTGAACGACTGTACTGCGATTCGTCTTGTTTAAGGATTTAAATTTTACCGCTGGGGGCTCTCAACATTTCAAAATTCCCACACAGCTGCTTGTCCTTTCATCTCAAGCAACAGCAGGTTTGCTTGGCTGTCCTCTCTCAATGGTCACAAGACTTTTTGTGGTACGTGACGGCCATCCGTACTTGCCTTGAAAATCGACAAATGGTAGCCACCCTTCGGGTGATGCGAAACGACAAGGTGTTGTTTTTCTCCCTGAGCGAGAGCCTTTACGACAATGTTACCTTTCCCCTCGTGCCCTAGGTATCGTCCTGTCGTGAATTCGCAGAATCCGATCCAGCCGTCCAAATTAGTAGAACGCCACCAAAAACCTCCCAGAGGGTAGGGACTTTCTTCCAAACACACCCTGCCACTAACGACTGACAAATAACGCTTCCTGCTTGCGTTTCTGGCGCGAAATATATACCAAGAGTTCGGAGTTGGCACAGAATCGAAAGGTGACATGATACAAAAGTCGTGAGACGCATCCATATGTTATGTTATGTTA